CTGCTATAAACATCGGGGTGCACGTACCCCTTCGGATCCCTACTTTTGTATCTTTGGGGTAAATACCCAGTAGGATGCCTGCCTTTTTCAGATGTTCTTCAACCCTTCTTTCTCCATTATGGAGTCAGCCATGTTGCTGGCCATGTCTGTGCATGGATTTGTGGCCATCTATAACCCACTGCACTATACAGCCATCCTCACCCTGCCCTGTATCTTTGGCACAGGAACTATCATGAGGCTGAAAAGCATTATTCTCATGGGCCCGTTGCCCATGCTGTTAAGGTACCTGCCCTTCTGTGGCCATAATGTCCTCTCCCATTCCTACTGCCTCCACCCCAACCTTATCCATCTACCTTGTGGGGATGTTTCTATCAACAATATCTATGGGCTTTTCATTGTTACCTCTACTTTTGGGCTGGATTCACTGCTTATTGTGGTCTCCTGTGGGCTCATACTCCACACTGTAGTGAGTATCACCACTGGGGAGGGGCGGAGGAAGGCACTCAACACATGTGGATCACGTATCTGTGCTGTGCTTGCTTACTATGTGCCTATGATTGGTTTATCTATGGTGCATCGCTTTGGACTCCACATGTCCCCTTTGGTGCATGCTATGATGGCCAATGCTTATCTCTTTTTCCCACCTGTTATCAACCCCATTGTCTACAGCATTAAGACCAAAGAGATCCATCATAGCATTGTCTGAATGCTCTCCCAGAAAAGAGCCAGAGTTTAGACAAAGGATAAAGTAGGAGGGGACTTTTCTCTATAATCACAGGTGGTCCTAGCTTGCATGTTATGCAAACGCTGTTACTTTAAAATATGTTATCTGATGGAGGTTCTGCATAATCTAGCAATAAACTGGAGTGGGGTACCAGTGGGGGTGGACTGTCTGTGACACAACCGTATAAAGAATTGATGTTATTTTTTAAATGTTGTGTTACATGAGGTTTTCCATTACCTCAATCTAGCTGGAGCAGGAATGCCGGAAGGATTGCTTATGAAAACGTAACTCTCCCCATAAGTGAAAGGTAATCAGGAGTTGGAAGGTGTCCTGGGAAATCTATTGAGCCCTCTGTTCTAGGGAACGAGGATATAAAATGGATTATATTCTTTTGAGGTTTGAGTACCTGATCTCAATAGCAGGAGGATACACTAACTAGCTTAAAGGAGGCTTCCAGTACTGACTCTGACTGGTATTTGCTCAACCTCACCAGGGCTCCCAGTTGAGAGTGACAAAAATTACAAATATTGTTTATTATGTAAAATTCTGCAGTCTCCCACCCAGGATACAGAATCTTTTAAAAAGGCAAGCATGCCCCTTATGTACATTAATATTTTTTTTTGTCTGGTTGGTTATTTCTTTGTGGACATTTGAAATAATGTAGAAATTTCACACTTATATTTTCAGGGAAAGGAACTAAGACTTTTGAGATGCAAATATATACTAAGCACTCTATATTTATTATTTCAATCACTTCCCACAACCCCCACTTCCCACCTAGTATTAAGGTGAAAAACTGATGCTTAAATAAGTGCTCAAACCTATCCATCCAAGAGCAAATAGCATTAATTGAGCAGATGCATGGATCAAACACAAATCTAAGCCTTAAAGGTAAAGTAGTGACAAAAGAGACATGTTCCTTCCCTCATGGAGCTTAGAAATATTTTTTTTTCTACTTCTGTCTCTGCTGTACTTTGTACTTTCTAGAACTATGTTTAAAACCAAATTAAAATAGACCTTATAATACTCTCACACACAAATTAAGCTTTTTAATATGGATTTTTAAAATGTTATGCCAGTACCATACTGTTTTGATTACTGCAACTTTGTAATACAACTTGAAGTCTGGAATTGTGATGCCTCCAGTTTTGTTTTTCTTATTCAAGATTGCTTTGGTTATTCAGGGTCTTTTGTGATTCCATACACATTTTAGGATTGTTTGTTCTAGTTCTGTGAAAAATGCTGTTGGCATTTCAATTGGGATTACACTAAATGTGTAGATTGCTTTGGGGAGTATAGACATTTTAACAGTATTTGTCCTTGCAATCCAGGAGCTTGGAATGCCTTTCCATTTCCTTGTAGCATCTTCAATTTCTTTCATCAATGTTTTTTAGATTTCAGGGTACAAGTCTTTCACCTCTTTGGTTAAAATTTTTCCTAGGTTTTTATTATTTTGGTGCAATTATAAATGAGATTGTTTTCTTAATTTTTTCCTGCTGTTTTATTATCAGCCTATAGAAATGCAATGGATTTTTGTACATTGATTATCCTGTGACCTTACTGAATTCATTTATCAGTTCTAGCACTTTTTTTGGTGGACCCTTTAGGGTTTTTTATATATATATAGTATCATGTCATCTGCAAATAGTGAAAGTTTTACTTCTTCCTTACCAATTTGGATGCCTTTTATTTCTTCTCTTGTCTGATTGCTGTACCTAGAGTGTGGAGGAAAAGGAACTTTAATGCACTGTTGGTAGGAATGCAAAGTGCAGCCATAGTGGAAGACAGTATGGAGGTTCTTCAAAAACTTAAAAATAGGGGTGTCTGGGTGGCTCAGTGGGTTAAACCTCTGCCTTTGGCTCAGGTCATGATCCTAGGGTCCTGGGGTCCACCCTTCTGTTGGGTTCCCTGCTCAGCAAAGAGTCTGTTTCTCCCTCTCCCTTTGCCCTTCCCCCTTTTCGTGCTCTCTCTCTCTCTCAAATAAATAAATAAGTAATCTTAAAAAAATAAAAGCTTAAAAATAGAACTACCTTGTGATCTAGAATTGCACTACTGGGCATTAATCCAAAAAATACAAAAACACTAATTTGAAGGGATATATGAACCCCTATATTTATTGCAACATTATTTATAATAGCTAAATTATGGAAGCAACCTAAGTGTCCATTAATAGATGATGAATATATAAAGATACACACACACACACAGAATAGAATATTATTCAGCTGTAAAAAGAATGATATCTTGCCATTCGCAACAACTTGGATGGATCTAGACAGTATAATGATAAGTGAAATAAGTCAGTCAGAAAAAGACAAATGCTATATGATTTCACTCATATGTGGAATTTAAGAAACAAATGAACAAAGAGAAAAAAAAAAGACAAACCAAGAAACAGACTCTTAACTATAGAGACCAGAGGGGTGAGGAAGAGGGGGATGGGTGAAATAGGTGAAGAGGATTAACAGTGCACTTATCATGATGAGCCCTGAATAATGTATAGAATTGTTGAATCACTGGGGCACCTGGGTGGGGCAGTCGGTTAAGTGTCTGACTCTTGGTTTTAGCTCAGGTCATGATCTCAGGGTACTGGCAGTGAGCCCCATGTCAGGCTCCATGCTCAGTGCAGAGTCTGCTTAAGATTCTCTCTCCTTCTCCCTCTACCTCTCCCTCTTATGCTCTCTCTCTCAAATAAATAAATAAATCTTAAAAAAAAAAGAATTGTTGAATCACTATATTGTACACCTGAAACTAATGCAATACTGTATATTAACTACGCTGGAATTAAAATAAAATACAAAAATAAAAAAATAATTTTAAACGTTTTGCTTGCATTGTTAATAAAAGTTAATTCTGTGACTTTTAACTCCAGGTTTCCAGACACCATGTTTCTGTAGATTCTGACTTAGGGATCTTAAGTTGCCTATAACTATGCCCTAGATTCATAGCCCACTGATGGGTGACTGAACTCTGCAGACAACTGTGACTTAGAACTATCAAGTGAAATCAAGCAGGCAAACCATAGAAGGGACCATCCCACAGATGACCAGAGAAGTGAGAGTGGCAGTTCCCTGGGAGTAAAGAGAAGAAGGGATATCTTTAGAGTGTCTGGAGAAAGACATCTTATAGCTTGAGAGGTATAGGAAGGAACGATGAGACCAGATTGTCAGGAAGCTTGACATAAAATGAGAATTTTAGGTCTCACTTTAATCCTTTTTCTGAAATTTCTGATGAACCCTCAGGCTCAGGCTTCCTATGATTACTCTTATGCTTAAGGCTATCAAAGACGCTGAGATTCTAAATGTAGGTATAGTTTGTCAGATCATGGCTAATTTAATGGCTGCCTTTCAAAAAGTTCCATCCTAGAAAGGACTCCATACACCATGCCCCTTTTCTAGCTTCTTTCTTTCTTTTTCACTCTATTTTCCTGAGGTCCAGTCTTAGAGACAACCTCAGGATCAGACAAAATCCTGGAAAATCACATGGTGAAAGGAGTCTAGAAGTCTCTGGGTGTTTATGCAATTGAAAAATAAGCAAAGTCATGGGCGCCTGGGTGGCTCAGTTGGTTAAGCGACTGCCTTCGGCTCAGGTCATGATCCCAGGGTCCTGGGATCGAGTCCCACATCGGGCTCCCGG